CGTGTGCTCTTCCGATCTAACCAGGAAGAGGTGGATATTTCCTCATAGTCTCTGCATAAATGTAAGAGAAAACAAATGTATGAGAATACATATCCTCCAGAAAACAAGCAATTTATTTTACATAAAAGTATATGTAAGAAATTTATTTTCATGTCGCAAAATCTTTGATCCTTTTTTTTATTAAAAATTGCATCTCTGAAGTGGAAACTCTTAAGTGAAAACACAATGCGATAATATACTTGCCATTTATTACTTTGTGAAGATATAGCATTTCATTTACAGCATCATAGGTTAAATTATCATACTTTGCCAATACTTCATCGATTTCTTCACGAACTTTGTCTTGTATATCTTGATGTTGAGCCATTTCATACAGAGCGTATGTCATCGTCGTCGAACTGGTTTCGAAGCCAGCTAGGAAAAAAATATAGCTTTGCGCAGTAGCTTCTTTCATAGTAAGTTTTTTTAGGTTTGCTGTGGATAAATAAATTAACATTTTATTATTGATTTTATATAAAAAATATTCAGAAGAAATATAATTATCTGATTTGCATGCACTGCAAGATAAAATATACCCAGATAGCCGGTTTGCACAGATTTTAAGCAGAATCTGCTACGAATTTTTGATGACAGAAAGGCTATAAATTTTACAGATACCTGACGATGTTAGTAAATTATCAGAAATATGACAAAAAGTGTGCTGATATATATTTGCCAGCAGATTGGCAGCAGAAACCTAATAAGATTTGCAGCTCCTGTTCGATTTCTGCCGCCAATCTACTGGCATAGTGGCTGTTAGCATTGCAAGCTTTTTTGGTTTTTAAATCCTTAACTTAATGAGGATACAAATACTTATATCCCTTTACAGAGGAAATCTAATCGAATTTGCAGCCAATTTAATTGTTAGCAAATTGCTAGCATTTTGCTATCAGGGTATTCAGATAGCAAAAGGCAGAATGTCGACAGACTGGTAACGGATTTAAATAAAACATGTCAGCAGATTGATATCTTTATACGCATATTGCATCAACCGATATTGCATTCTATTCCTTTTTTACCGACAGAATCTATTAACATATTTAGGTACAGATTGGCAGGCAGAAATCAAACTTGCTGACAAAACTTGACCGCAGACTATAAGCGACCGGACAGGATCTTATACTGACGGAGTCTGACGGCAGATTGGCAGGAGAAATTGAGCAAACTTTGCTGATTGTATAAATATTTAAGTTGTGACGTCATTGATATTAAAAGGTTTTTAAAAATGATATTTCTATTTTTTTTGAGAAACGGATATTAACTAATATGTAGCGGCAGTTTTGCAAGTATTTATTGATAGCGCAGATCTTACTCAGTTTCTATCGACAATCTGACGACACACTGCGCTTAAGAAATCTGCTCGATTTTTACTACGATTCTACCAACAGATATTGCGTATAATAGATTTTACTCGAATTCTGTTGCCAATCTGCTGTCAGATATTTGTGCCAACAGACTCTGCTTGGTTTGTGGCCGTCAATCTGCTGGCGTAGCATATCAGTAGACTTTGCTATATTACTGATAGCAGTTTGCTGACATCGTCATTGCAGATTTTATATATTCAATAATAAAGAAATGAATATCCTGCTTTGTTCAAAATTTGTCTTTGCAGACTTGCCATATGCGTACATAATATGGAGAAGTTATTAATATAAAAATAAACAAAATTTATATATTAACATGACATATCGGTGGTGTTCCTGTCATCATTAGAATCATCAACAAAGCCTCTCTCCATGAATTGTATAAGTAAATTCATGAAGTCGTGTCTGACGATGTTATGATCTCGCCGGTATTCCACACTCTCTCGAAACATCTTTATATAAAATTTGGTGACATCTCGATGCGTGAGAGGAATGGAAAAGAAATCCATTATTTGCGGCATAAATAAAAACAGA